TGTTTTGTCCCTGCCACAAGACCTGATACTCCGAAGGGACAGGGCACCGCCACGTGGGTGAGTTGTGCCATGGGTTGAAACGCCCGGTTTTAGTGAGGATGGGCTAAGTTGTGGCATGGTAACAAACAACCCCAGACATCAGAGGCTTGAAACAGCAAGCATTCGTCTCTCAGGCAGTGTTTATGTCCACTGGCCATCGGCAGGGAGTCTGCTCAGCTGAGGTCATTCAGGTGACCTTGGCCAAAGCCAGTCACCATGCCCCGCCCCCCAAACCTGGGTTCAGTGAGGTATGGGTTAAATAACTGCTATTTGCGGACTGCCCCGCCAACTCCCCAGTCTCATGGTTCCCCTGCAATGATGGAAGGTACCCCATGTGCCCAAGATCTCTCTGTGTTGCCCAGCAGGACGAGTTTAACTTTGCTGAATTCCTCTCATGAACAGAGTTTGGATAATGGGACTTAGGGTAATTGTGTAGGGAGCACGATACGGTCTTTATTCAATGGTGACTGCTCCAACGGTGGTGCAGGGATGCACAGCCTGAAGACCAGCAGGAGACTTGTTAGAAATGCTCAGTAGTGCCACCCCCACCCCCCACCCCTGAGCTACTGAATCAGAACCAACATTTGAACAAGTCCCCAAGGTGATGTGCTTGCACAGCCAAGTCTGAGAGTGGCTCACTGAGAGCAGGGGTTCCCCAGCCAGAGTCACTGGGCTTCAACCCCAGCTCTGTAACATTTACACGTTACCGAGACTCTGTATCGCAATTTCTTTGTTTGCAAATGGGGTTAATGACCATTAGTGATGTCACAGAGTTATTGTGAGGATTAAATGAGTTAACACTTATCAAAGAAGTTAAAATAGTGCCTGGTACAGGGTGAAAGATCTGTAAGTGTTAGAGATGGCGATGATGGTGACGGTGATGATGGTGATGGTGGTGATGGTGATGGTGATGATGGTATTGCTGGTGATGATGATGGTGGTGATGATGATGCAATACATACAGTAAAGGAAATGTCAGTGTGATCCCCTCCATTTGTAACCTATCTGAAGGTTTTTAGCCCAATTCTTATACTAAAGGGACCATTTTCCGACCTTGAACCCTGAGTGGAGAGGTAATGGGTAGAAAATCCATTTCATGGATCTTTACGGAAATGCTGAGTCTGGAAATACAGCAGCTACCAGGAGGGACATTGGAGGAGGGTCAGTGTGGGCATTTGAGCATCAGTCTTAAGAGCTGTTCACACAGGCCAAAAGTCACCTGCATCCTGCATCTTACATGGAGACGCTGGGCCCACGTTCCCCGCAGGGGAAATTAATGTCCATGGAGACTGACTTCAGGCAGAGATGCTAGCTGCACAAGGCCCTGGGGAGCTTGTCTGCAAGGTTAAGAGGAAGTCACAAAGGAATAATTTTTCTGTGTTTGTTCAAAATAGAAAGGTCTAGCAAGTGAAACCTGACACAAAGAGATGGCCCAGCAAGCGAGAGCTAACACAGGTTACCAAGACACCTGGCATAGGGAACGGGCAGTTCTACCACTCCCTCGCTGGGCGACCTTGAACAGGCCTCTTAACCTCTCTGACGTCGGTTCCCTTGTCTGTACGAATGGGATCCCAAGCGTACCTATCCATATGGTTGTTAACAGGAGTATTTGGCAATTAACAAGCAACTCATAAGTGTTGTTGTCATGACTATCACCATTATTGTCATCACCGTTACCATTACCGGCTAAGTGAGCTGAAGGTGAAGCCTGGGAATCTCAGTTTCCTCATTAGTAAAATGGGGCCAGCAACCTACAGCATCATGATACTCACGGGGCAAACATCTATGTTCTCGTGCACACAGGGGTGGGCAGGTCACACGTCATCCCCCATGGACCTGACATGGGACAAGGAGCTGCAGACGGACATCAAGGAAATAAACACCCCAATGGCTGCTCCTACCTGAGTCCAGGCTCTAGCCCTCCTGCCATCTTCCAGGGCGCCTGGTTGGACCGCCGGCTTCTCTGTGCACCTGCCCCCGACGGGCCTGAGTTCTCCAGGCAGCCGCAGCCATCGTCCTGAAAGAAGAAAGGAGGTGCTTTGTTCCTCCACCGCCTGGCCTTTGCACTTTGGGGGTTCCCAGCCTGAAAAGCTCTTCTCCCAGAAACCTATTAGCTTACCTGCTCACTTAATCCACCCTTTCTGAAACTATATCCCCAAGTCAGACTTTCTGCTTACTCTGTTTTGTTTTTCTTCTTACAGAATGGGTTTATTTGTATATTTCTTTAGTGCCTGTCTCCTAGAATATAAGACCCCTGAGCTTAGGACCATCATGTGTTCTGTTCACTGCTAGACCCCAGGTCTGGGCCTGACCAATGGTAAGCAATAGACAAATATTTGTTGAATGAATAAATAAAAATGTCAACAGACAATAATAGTACATCTGTTCGTATTATTGTGAGGATTAAATGAGATGGTGTCTCCATACATTAAGAAACATGCTAGCACAGAGTGTTAAAAACATACCTCCCTCCCCTGCCTTCCTTTCTTCTTATCTCTAATAGCAAGCACCATAGTCAAGACTTGACATTAGATCTGCAACGTGACCATAGCTGCCTCATGAGGCCAACACATAGCTCTCGTTTTTCCTATTCTTAGCGATGTATACATACAGGTCCCCTGTCTAGAAGCAGGCCGGGTGAGACGTTCCTGAGGTAAAATTCACAAATCGCATCCCTCCTCTTATGCAATATTAAGAATTAGGGATTTAAGCACGGACAAGAAGAAATCTGAGGTTGCCTCTGACTCAGGAACCCCGGGCACAAGAGGAAGCAGCGGGTCACCTCGTTTTCAATAACCCTTCTCTCCTATAAATCACGTTAATTGTCTCCATGTGCCTGCAGCCTGTGGGGAGTTTTGCGAGAGGCTTTGAGGAGATTAGTGGTCTCTGATGTTCGTTATGAAATTCAGAAAAGCATCTGGAAGTAATTTAAGTTAAGGAATTAATGATTTGGGAGTTCAATAATACACGCCTTAAGAAAAAAAATAAATACAGGAAACTGTTAGCCCATGAACCTCTAAGTTCACACCTCTATTTTTGTGGGTTTTGCTTAAAAAGGTAAATTGACCATATCATCTCTTTTATTTATTTGTTCGGTTTTTGGGTGCAAATTTGTTTGATGTTTGGAAGGTCACATGGCAGATTAAATGGGATCCTGAAGTAAAATTTGCAGAAGAGGAGCCCCCATTCCCTGGGTCTCCTTTTGTCCCTTCTGGAAGGAGGGTGGAGGCCTTGATAGGCGATGCCTGGCGACTTCACAGTCTCAAGGGACATCTGAGGCTGGAAACACCGAGGACAGCAGATCCTTCCGATGCTGTGAAGGGCATTTACTCAACCACAGACTCCTCTCCTTTTTCCCCCCCTCATTTTGAATTGCTATGTATTTTGCTGTGGTTCATTCGGTTTTCCTTTTTTTGGTTTTGTGAACCATGGAGAGCCAGGAAGGACCTGCCTTGGTTTGGCAGTAGAGGGATTCTGTGCTGTGAAGAAAGAAGTGATTTTCGGGGAGAGCAAACTATGAACCTGCAAAGGGGAACAGCAGGCAAGTAGAGGGCATACTTGGGGGCATTTTTGTTCCTCGCCTCTGAAGGGGTGGGGGGGAGCAGACCCCACCCCCTCAGTCAGGATGAATAGATATGTTGTATTTCTCACTGAGGCTACAAACATTTAAATTTTTTGTTCCCCCCACCCCAAGGCTCCCCCTTAACTGAGTTGGGGCGTAACAAATGGGTTTTCAGTCCTTCAAATTCTTTCACTGTTTTGTTTTTGTCATTCCACCAAGGATGTACGTTTTGTTTTGTTTTTCCTTTTATTTGAAATTCATTCCTGGCTGTAGTGACTGGGAATGATGGTGACACACGACACAGTTGGGCTGAGCCTGGTGAGAGCTTGGGCCTCTGAGCCCTGTGCCTGAGGAGCCTCACCCAGAGGAGACCCACAGGCGTAGCTGGCTGCGGGGTTTGGGGGAAGCCAGCGTCTGGGGGAAGGCTGGGCTTCCTGGGCGAAGCTTCTAGTCTCAAATGGGTCACCTTTCACTTACAGACAGAGGGAGTAGGGGTCCCGCCTGAGATTGCTCAGACTCCCGCGTGGCCAAGGAGGCCTGAGCATCAGTCACCGCGCAGGCAGGCAGCAGGGCTCCCCGACAGGAGGGAGAGGAGAGATGAAAGGCATAGGGCACCCAGTGTAGCGGCGAGTGCAGACCGGCCTCCTCCGAGTCTGCAGAGCAACTGCTATTGCAGGAGCAGGTCTGGCTGGGGAGGGGGCACACGTGGCTTGAAGAGTTAATATAAACATTTGGGGGGGAGGGGTCAGGGGTGACATCCAACAGTGTAAAAGGAGAGTGAAAAAGGAGCCTTCCTTTCACGCCGGCGTCCCAGTCCCCGGCTCCGAGCCCGCTGTTACCTTCGCTCCTCACACACGTGTACACAGATGCGCACGTGCCTCTCTGTAAACCCGTGTCCCGCCTTAGGCTGCGCGTTGCTGTTTCCCACTGAATTATCTACCCAGGAGATCTTTCCGCCTCAGCTGCACGGGGCTTTTAATTCCAGATGTCCCCAGCTCGCGAGGCAAAACAATCAGGGGACGACCTGAAGTTGAGGGCAGGGACTGACGACCACTCGGGCTGCAGCAACCGCCGGAGGGCGGGAGGGGAAGGGTCCAGCTCCATCTTGGGTACCTGCGCAGAACTCTCGGGGACGCGAGCCGCAGGGCGCAAAGGCTGGAGGCTGCAAGTAGAGGGGGCGGCTCCGGGGGTGCTGCAGGCGGCCCTCGCCTCCCCCAGCTGGGGAGGGACCCTTCAACTCGCCGCTCTGCGCCCGGGGGGCGCACGCACTTTCCCCTCCGCAGCCTCAATTGGTCTCCGGCCCGGGGCGGGGCTAAGGGCGGGACCCGCGGGGGCGGGGCCTACAGGGGGCGGGCCTGGAGGCGGGGCGGCCGCAGCTGCAGCGACGGCTGGAGAAAAGTTGTCCCGGCCAGAGCGCGCGCTGCCGCGGGATCCGGAGCCTCCGCGGCGTGCACCCGGCAGGGCGGGGTGCTACCAATCGAGCCGAGCCGCGCCGCGCCGGCCGACTCGCTGCCGGGGGTCGCCCCGGGGCATGGGACAGCCGGCGAGGGTCGCGGGCCGGCGCTGCGCCCCGGGCGGGCGGCGGACGGCCTGAGCTGCCAGACGCAGGATGCGCTCCGAGGGCGCGGCCCCCCGGCCGGTGGCGCCGCTGTGCGGGGCGCTGAGCCTGGTACTGGGCGCGCTGCTGGGCAAAGGTAAGGCCGGGGCGGGCGTCGCTCCCAGGAGCCTGGGCAGGGGGAACCGGAAGGCGGGGGTG